ACGAACGATTAACAAACTTGGGGAATCCCCGTAGCGCAGGGTGGGTTCGGATCAAATTACAAGGTCAACCACAGATGGAAATTATCGATGACCTCATTATCTTCCTGGTGCCAGATTCGACACGTAATCACCACCAGTGGTAACGTAAACATCCGCCATGGTGAGATCAGGAAGAATTTAATACGTATTAGTATTAAAACTATTACGGGTCAAAAATGACAAGAGGACTGAGTGTAGCCTCTACCAGGCTTCGGGAGGCGGCTGGAAAGAGTAGAAATCGGCCAGAGATAACATGCCAGGGGAGTTGGTCTGCTGGGAGAGTTTGTTCATGTTATCTCTCTTTTGGCCGATTTCTACTCTTTCCAGCCGCCTCTCGAAGCCTGGTACTAGTGGTAGAGGCTAGACTGAGTGTGGAGAATGAAACGTGAGTACCAGAGGTCAAGAAAGAAAATACAGTTGGCATTTCCCGCAAAGCTTGCTCAGTGGGATGCCCTTTTATTGTACACAGTGAATGCAAACGGATTAGTCTGTTGAATTCCTGTGATGATTGTCTCGTTTCCCCGCTTGGCCACACACACAACATTATATTCTGACCTAGCAAATATCTCTTATGCTCTCTATTTAGAGCCAGTCGCACTGCAATAATTGAAACCATATGCACTACTTGTAGCTCTACAGTGTTTGTGACTGAGCACAGAAAAACAGCATGAAGTGACTGTTGTGTGCATGATAACACGTTCGTTGACGCAAGGAGCTTTCCTGGTTGGCGTGATCATCATTTGCAAGACAATTGTAACACCCTCCACTGAGTGATCTAACCTTTAGTAACCTATAGTATCTGCAACAGATGTTGGAAGCAGAGAAACGTATTGAAAACGAAATACCCGCGCTACATAAATTTTATACATGAAGATTCCAACTCTGTGACGTTTCATCACTTTTAGTTCACGCTGTGTATCCAAAGTTTAACCCACGTGGATGTTTAATAGTTTGGTCACATTGATCACATTAATAGTAGGCATACCTCCATGGAGCTTCTATTGATAGAAGCTCCTTTAGTAAGTTATTGCTGTAGTCTTTTTCCCTGTTTATTCATGACCTGTACTTAGCTAGCCGGGGTGCCAGACCCACAGCACACTAGGCTAATACTTAGCCTGCAAGAGCATAAACATTCAAACTATATATTATTCTTTCATCATTCATAATCGTCACGTGCATGAAAAGTTGAGGGGCCAAACCTTCCCGATCTTGCATCCCATCTTGAACGTAGTACCACACACAGACAGCGATCTAGACTAGTTGTGGCTGAAAACTTCCCTGGAAAAGTCGTGTAGGTGACCTCCTACCCCTCCCCTTGCTGCAGCTGGAATGCTGGAATGCTGAGTTGTTTTCTTGGAATGGAGGCGGGCTGTGGCGGGCGGAATTTGCATGCGCGCCGTACAGAGGTCACCCCTTGGGAAATCATGGGTATGGGCCAGATGGGCGATACCATTGATAACTTGGGGGTGGGGGTCGGATGAAGGGAAAGGTATTTTTATGTAGCCTCTACCAGGCTTCGGGAGGCGGCTGGAAAGAGTAGAAATCGGCCAAATACTGATAGAGAGATAGCATGCCAAGTGGTCTGCTGGAGAGAACAGTTTGCCGCTTCCGGACGGAGGTGGTTCAGTGGATCGGTAGTTGAAATCCAGATATTTACCACAGCATTACGTTAACTCAAGGAGGACAAAGCTGTTTAGGGATCATACCTTTTGGCAAATTCGTAACATTACAAGTTCAAGATCACGCTATGGAACTTAGAAGAATATTGCGCTGCTAAAATAATAGCTCACCACGTATTATTACATTTTCATCATTACAAAGAAGCGAGAAGAAGTCGGAGCTACATACAATGTACTAGATGATAGCTCTCACTAGCTTGTTCTTATTCATTGTAAAGTGCTCATTTTCTGTGACATATACTTACTCAAAATATACTTACAGTACCGTATGATACTTACTTTATAATACTTACTTGCTTATTTTCTGTGACATATGACGTTTTGTAACTGTTATCAAAATTGTACAAAATAAATCTTCATTCATTCACGTAAAACTCCTTATCTTAAAAAGTTTTCTTTCTGGTGAAATTATACGTTCCGCAAGGTCAGTAGCCCGGGTCTATGACGCATCTAAAAAATTGCAAGTGAAAAACAACTCGCCCCCATATTGATCGATCACGGCACAAATGTCGTCACTGATTATTCGGTACGCCCACTTCAGGGCACGATGATCTAAAGTTACTAAAGATGTAATTTGAGAACGGGAAGCGGGGGCGTCTTGGTTTGAATCAGGTTTGCAATAACAGGGGGTAGTCTGCTATTACAGATCTTTCGCTCCCCAAGACATCTTTTTTTTAACAACATAGAAACGTACAGGACACAGTGGTGGGCAACTCTAGCAGGTTGCTCATCTTAGCCCCAACACTGACAAAGAAAGCTACGTACAATGGCAATATGATAATAACAAAACAGCAACAAGTACCAAAACAGCAAATAACAAAACAGCAAATGGGCCATACAAACGATAACATGTCATCAATTTCATCATTTGCTAGCATGTAGCTTCGCCAGTTTCGGAGAGAAAAAAATTAGGTAAGTAAATTGGGGATAGTCTAGCATGTGAAAAATATATCTCTTACTTGCCTTGTGTTTATAACGGGTTAATGTTATAATGTACCGAAAATATAAGTCCGCATTTAAATGACCCTTTGAAGAGTGACGTCGACGATGTTTTGAAACGGTCCAGTTCGGGATGACGAATTATAAAAGTTGTATGACCTTTACCTGACGTCATCAGTGAGTGATACATTGTCGTGTTTGCTGTTATGGGCCGATTGGTTTTTCTAGGTAATAAAGAATTCATTGGGCAAAAAAATGAGTATCCATTGATTAGAATGTTAATTGAGTGACCTACGTGTCGGTCTACCCTTCTCAGCGAACCAAGGTCTTTACACAAACTTTTCAAAGGATGGGTGAGGAGTTGTTTGATTTAGCCACGTAGCGAGTGAAAATGAAACTGCAGGTGTAAGCTCTTTAATAACGCACACAGTTAGCAAACGCGTTATGTCCAGTCGAAAGATAGTGACTGTACGAGTACTGCTATGACGTCCCTTTTCTTTATCAACAAAGTGTATTTTGTATTTCGAACCTCAGTGGGCAAACCGAACAGTATCACCAACTCGGAACATTAGCCTCTACCAGGCTTCGGGAGGCGGCTAGAAATAGTAGAAATAGGCCAAATAGAGAGATAGCATGCCAGAGGAATTGGTCGGTTGGAGAGAACAGTTTGCCACACCCGAAAACAGGTCTCTCTATCGGACCAACTCCCCTGGCATGTTATCTCTCTATTTGGCCGGTTTCTACTCTTTCCTGCCGCCTCTCGAAGCCTGGTAGAGGCTATCGGAACATCAGTATGACACAAAAAGCAGACTAGAGCCCAAAACTCAGTTCTCACTGAATTTTATTCTTTGGTATTGATAGCTAATACAATCTTTGCTCCGGTATCTATCTTTGAATATGATACACCTCATTTGACCGCGTAAAAAACACACACTATTAGTAAAGGCTGACGGTACAACAGCAAATTAACACCTAGAACAAGATACACACACAGATTGAATAAAACTTCACCGTGCAATGTATGAAAACAAGGAGCTATAGAAACATCTCTACCTTCAGCCGGGATCTACCGACAAGACAGGCTTGACACGCACAGAAAATATATCATTTCAAATTCTCCTAATACCTGATCTTTTCAAACGTTAGAAATGTGTCAGCCACATTCGTATTTGTGGAGAAAAGGTAACTGTACATTGTGCAATGGAAATATATATTTATATGTATATATTCAGCTCCTCTGATCAGTTATAAAACTCTTAAAATATACCTCCTTTGAAAGATAGAACTGGAAATATCCCTATAGTAAAAAAAAAACTATTAATATCAAGGTTGGTTTCGATTCCAATTTAAAACTAGAAGTTTATATGATGCCACGGGCTTTCGGCAGTATTACAGTTTTAAGTAATATTGTATACATAAAGTATTTGTTATATCTGTCTCATTAGGTAGAATCTTGCATAGTTTTAAAGACATGATTGTCAGTACATTGCTCGTCCAAACTTCCACACGGCCCAATTCCTCAGTTCTTGCGAAACAAGCTAGATCTTCAATCAAACTGCCCAATCAAATGTACAGGTACACAACAAGTCTATGTCTGAGATTCGATAGAAGTCCATATATACAGATAAAAGCGAATATTGTATTACTGTATTTGTTAAAACATTTTCAAAATGCTTCTGACATACAGTGGCAAGTGTAATAATAACCGTAACAGTTTGTTGTCCATATTAATGCTATTTTTCACCCAAAATACGTGGTATACAATGCATATAGAAGGAACAGGTTGATTTGAGGTGCTGTCGGTTAGATGATTATTTCGCGCCAATCACATAGAGTTATCTTGCTATTGCAAGTTGTGTTCATTGTGGCTCATGTTTCATGTTATTACACTTAAAGGTAATCATGCTTTGGTAGTGAAGAGTGTCGATTTTCAGATCTTTTCTCGGTTACACTGTATGCAAACCACAAACCACTTGATGTAGGGACAATATGCATGGAGAAGAAACTTAGCTATAATACTATGGTAAGCTGCATAGAAAATATACAAAGCATCATATCTTTCTGGACTATGCATAACAAAAAAAAATCTTAACGTATATATTCTATAAACATTACGTCCATCGTATCAAATCCCGTGCCGTTCTCTTTTCAAAGCTGGTTAACATTTTGTGCTCTGGCCACGTGGCCTTAAAGAAACTGTCCATAATTGTTGGATCGCAAATTTTATTGTATCGTATCAGCTCAAGTTTCTAACTTTACACTTCATTCAAGTGGCCTTGAAACAAACCTACCATAAATTGATGGAGAAACAGAAAACAAAATTTTCCCGTAGGCCTCAACATAAATTGATGGATCGCAACTTTTACTCTATCTTATTCTATCGTATCCACACACATTTTCTAACTCCACAGACCTGCCTGCACGAAATCCAATCCTTAAGCTCACCTAAAAGGATACGTAAAGGTTCATTTTCCACTCTTCTCAACATTTACGCATGCTTTAATCTGTGCTTAACCGCACCTTAAAGGATACGTAAAGGTTAACTTTTTCTTTTCACTCTTGTCAACATTTACGCATGCTTTAATTAATCTGTGCTTAAAGATTGGACTTCTTGTAGCGCTGTTTACGTATCTACAGCCTGGAGCTGTAGGAGGTATCGTTGATGCTCCCACCATTGCGGATCGGGTCCTGCTGCAGACTCCGCGGATCGTACAGCGGGTAGCGGTTGATGCTGCGCGGGTCGTACAGCGGCGGCTGGTCGCCGGTGCGGCCGTTCTCCATCGCCACAGGGTCGTAGATGGTGCTGGCGGGGTTGTCCAGGCCCTCCGTACTCTTCCACTCCTTCTGCTCCCCACTGATGATGGCCGGGCCCCACTTTTCATCGGGAGTGATGGCCTTACGGAAGCGCTGGAGTAAACGGAGAATAAAAGAATGTTTTTTTTATCCCAACATTTCATGAATAGAAATGGTAAAGGCACACATTTTATGCCGCCGCCAACACAGAGGACAAATACAGGACAGGACAATACTCATTCTTACTTGAGTTAAGTGAGGAAAGCCGTGTAAAGTACTAAGCTTTCGAAAATAGTTTCAGGTTGGTAGAGTATACACGTTTGTCAGAGCTTCTGACTGGAGTTCTGCTTCTCGACGCTATGTAGCCGATGTAGGTGTCTGATAGACACGGACGCGTCGGCACTTTAGTTGAGAGAATTGGTTGTGTAAAAGAAAACTCTTGTATCCTAGTACTAAACCTGTGAGCCAGTATGCAGTTTGAAGACCTTACCTCTGCGAAAGACCCCTTGTTCTTGAACACCTCGATGACGCCGAAGAGAGGGATCATGAGGATGGAAAAGAAGGCCATGAGCAGGCCCAGGGTGACTGCCCAGCTGGGGTACGCGATGCCGTTATACACCACAGGCGAGTACTGCACCAGCGAGAAGATGAAGATAAACTGTGGAGGGGGAACACAAGAAAAACATCAGTAGAATTCAACATGAAACTAGAAAAATAACATTTGCAAAGCAAATGCATAACGTTAATACCTTTGCATATGGTCTACTCTGTCAATTCTTATTCAAACACATTCATATGTATGGTCAGACAGGAGTTTAAATCCCTCCTGCGTATAAAATTGCAACATGATGTAACCCAACTCTAGTTACCATGTTAACAGTCGGTCTGGTTTAGGTCATTGAGGTCATTGTTTGGAGAAGAAGATGAAGACGAAACGTACCAAAAACAATATGTTTTCCTTCGGTAAACATCACCCACAAATTGTATTCACGCCTTTATTATATTGGTATGATCAAGGGTCAACTATATACCAGTGTATCTGGTACAATTAAGAACAAACATGAGCTATCAAAATCCGATATACTGCTGCAGTGCCACAAAGAGCGAACGTCTGAAGCATCTCTAGTTCTCTACCACGACAAAAAGGCTTAGGCTTGTATCTCAGACACTCACCAACATCAGTCCTGGCGAGATGATCATCCAGCAGGCCTTGAAGTAGATGTTGGGCTCGTACCCGATCATTTCCTTGATGTCCGCGCTGAAGCGCTTGATTCCTGTGAAACAAAGTTAAACACAGAATAAGCATGGATAATAAAACCGAAACATATCCCTTTTTTATAGTAACATCGTCCCTGTGTAGCTATATAGTTAAGACTGTCTGGTGTGAGGTAGAGGTTGGCCTGGCTATTAAACACAGGGACAAGAAGAAGAAGAAGAAAAAGAAGAAGGAGAGGAAGGAGAAGAAGAAGGAAAGAAAAAGAAGAGGGGAAGAAGAAGAAGAGGGAGAATGGGAAGGAGAAGGGAAAGAAGGAGAAGAAGAAGAAAAAGAAAAAGGGAAAGAAAAAGAAGGAGAAGAAGAAGAAGAAAAGAAAAAGTAGAAGTAGAAGTAGAAGAAGAGGAAAAATGATTTCGTACTGCCAAGACACGTACCGTAGATCCAGGAGATTCCGATGGCCATGAAAAGTGCGGTGATGATCAGGCAGAATCCGGCACTGTACCAGTTCATCATCTCCAGCCAGAAGATTCCAGCCTAAATCATAAACACACAGATCGAACAAATAAACAAACAAACAAACAAACAAACAAACAAACAAACAAACACTCAACTACAATCTCAAAGGTTGTTACGACCAAGATCATCATTGCTGTAGAAACCCAGTGCCTTGCGATACTTGCCTGCTGAGAGTCTTAAGACTCCAATGGTCGTTTTTATTTCAACTATGAGCATTTTTCTGAGACCTACAACCGCAAGTAGATCAGAACGTAGTAGCTATCAGAAAACTGCACTTGGTTGAAAAAACAAACGTCGTAGTCTGCAATGGCCTAGCCTAGATGCCATCAGTTTTGCAATGGGTCTCTTGCACTCGCTACTGGTATACCCAGAAAAAAATCGACAATGGATATGTAGGCTAACATAGGGCGTTTTAGGCCACGACACTTAATGTCAGAGGACAGTAGACGGTCAAATGTGTCCACACGTACGTACCTGGGTACACTGGGTCAGGCCGAGGAGGTAGAGAACGACACAGATGGCCAGCAGCACCCAGGTCTTGCTCTTCCGCAGCAAGGTCGGGTACTCGTCAGACAGGGCGGTCACGATAGTCTCCAGCATCACGAACTGTGGGGAAACAACGTGATTGAAGCCGTGATGAGATTACATCGTGTCGATAATGCTAGGTAGCCTGGTTACCAAACCGATTATAGCTCCTGAGTCCTACAGCCTCTCCGCAAATAGCTCCCGAGTCCTACAGCCTGTAGGAATGTAGGACTCGGGAGCTATAATAGGTTTGGTAACCAGGCTAGATGCTAGGGTCGGTTAGGTATCCCTATACCGGACGTACGTTTACATACTTTCTGTACACCCTATACTATACTGATATCTCACCGGCAAATGTCGTAGCGTGCAATGCAACCAAAACGACGTCCAAATCATGGTCATTGATCTTTACACTACTATTAAAAAATTCTGTACCTGACTGTCCAGGCCAAGGGTCAGCAGCATGAAGAAGAACAGGATGGACCACAGAGGCGAGATCGGCATGAGAGTCAGGGCTTCAGGGTAGGCGATGAAGGCCAGACCAGATCCTGGGGATAAAACAGTTGTAACGATTTATGATGAAAAAAGTAGTATAATAGGCAACCTCTTTCTTTATCACACGATGGTGGTACTCTGGGGGCTTAGCCTGGTTACCAAACATATTATAGCTGCCGAGGCCTACATCCTCTCCGCATAGAGGACTCGGCAACTATAATAGGTTCGGTAACCGGTGGGTAACCAGGCTACTGGAGGCTATCATGGCCGTCAGGAGTGGTGATTTTACTAACGATTACTAGTTACTAGATTGTTGCAGTGTATAGAAACAAAAGCAACTTGCATCTTGGTCATCGAATCGAAAAGCGTACTTGCTCGGCTGCACACTTTACCTAAGCCCAACTTCACTTGATCGCATTGTTTCTCTATATTTGTAGTAAAGCAAATCCAAAAGCTGAGAAAGGCATCGTCGCATATTGCATTGTTCACATGTCTAGCGTTGTGTTGGATACAAAGTTTCAACACGTACACGGTACATGTATGAAGGCTATGATTATTTTTCCTTACCGCTGGCCACCACCTTCCCGACCGGCATGTTCAGCTCGTGCGACATGTAGCCGATGTAGGAGAAGATGGCGAAACCGGCGAACACGCTGGTGCCGCAGTTGGACAGGGCGATGATCACAGCGTCCCTGTGGAACAGCACATTTTTTATTTTATACAATGTTTGTGTTTTATAATGTATGTAAGAGGACTCCAGGAAGAGTAGTGGTTGTCACTAATTGGAAGTTCCTGAAATAAACAAAGAGCAGACAAAGCACAGCACACACTGTTTGTTATGTTGGTCAAGACTTGAGTTTAAAGTAAATTCGGATATATGTTCACGATCTGTTTTAAAACACACATATCAGGATCATAAGTATAAGATATTGCAGTATTTGGTCTCTCCTGTGGAAATACTTCGAATATTTCGCTTGATCTATGAGTGCGTCACCGCGTATGCATTGTTCTGTTTGAATGTTGGAATCATAAACAAACACTTGATATTATTGTTGTGGTGTTAGGATAGATGGAGACCATTTACGGAAGTTGGGGCATGCATGTACACTAGCAAGTCACCATCTTTGTTCAATCTAGATTCAGACGGTTTTGTCCAGGAATGATCCACAAGTAATATTACAACTGTCTCCATGTTTTTGACATTCCTGTGGTCATAATAACTGTTCTATACATACAGTAACGTAACGTAACGTAACGTAACGAGACGACGTAGCTCTTTGTATCTTTCCACAAATTTCATGTCGCAATTTCTGTGTACATGGCAGTTGATCGAATTAAACTGAACCTGAACTTGAACTAGCGCGGGCTAATTCAGAAGTGGCTGTACCTGTGACAGTTGTTGTTGAACTTGTTGTAGCTCGACATGGCCAAGATTCCTCCGAAGGCCACTCCCAGGGAGTAGAAGATCTGGGACGCTGCATCGTACCACACCTGGAAAACCGGGGAAAATTCGTCACGAAAAGAACATATAGAAATAAAGGCATTGACGCATTCGACATTGTTCACTTAGTCTATCTGTAGCGGTACCAACACTGGCCAAAGTGACATTTCAAACTCAAGCCTATTCTGACTTCCACGCTATGCGATTTAAAAATGCCAAGTCTTGTACAATCTGCACTTATTTTCGGTATCTTATGTTCTGTATCTGTATAGCCAGTATAACCGCACTTCGGTGTAACACACCAGCTTCGCAGGCACGCGGCGCGGCCACAGCTGGCTACGTTACACCGAGCAACTTGTTACACCTAACCCTTAACATCTAACTGTAGTCTAAACATTGTTTAAAGCTATCTAATGACAATGCCCCTACTGTACTTGGTGACAGCGAGTTCCACTCTGCGATAGGAAAGATTGAGTTTTGAACACCTCAATCCTTGGTTGAAACTTTATTTTTTTCAATATAAACATAGCAGACAAAAGTCTGAATTGCGTTAGTATTTACACGCCATTGAGCTCATTTTAAATCATAATACACAAACTGTGGGTATTTACAGTTTTAAAAGTAAAGTTGATAAGTCTGGTTCTTAAAGCCAAGACTACGTTGACTTTCAACCAACAGGAGAATGCCACGACTGTTTTGATGACTCACCTGCGAATCCTTGAGCCGATTGAAGTCCGGCTTTATGTAGAAGATGATCCCTTCTCTAGCCCCGGGTAATATCGCCCCGCGGATGAGCAGGATGATCAGTACGATGTACGGGAACGTGGCCGTAAAGTACACAACCTGGGAACGAGAGGGGGCGTCACATTGACACAATACGTCACAATAACGTTATCATGATTTTCCGGGTCACAATTGTTATTAACAATGCGTAACCGCTGCCAATAATCCTACAATGTAGGGCTGGGCGGTAACGAAGAAGACGAAGAAGAAGGTGATTACACGAATGCCAGCAGCTTAGAAAACCTGCCTTACTGACAATTTTCATATAAAGCACTACCCAACGTATTGTGAGGGAGTATGAGAATTGAAAGATTACATTACAGTATATTTGAAGAGGTTAATCAGTCACGTAAGACTAGAGTTAGTAGAGTCTAGATCTAGTCTCGTGTCCTCGCGAGACTAGGTTATTCCGCGATCAAGACGACTTTTAAAACAGTCACTGATTGATGAATATCCTACTAACTACATTACTGTACGTCGAAGAAGGTTAGACATCCAGGTAATACGATACGCCAAAAAGCAGTTAATCAATCAATAGTTTGTGCTTATAAACCCTCATTTCCCCTCTGGTCTCTCAGTCACTGACGAAAGCTAGTGGATACTAGCTGAAACGTCTGACCGTTTCCAAAATCATATCCAGTTGCTTGAGTAACTGCTTTTTGGCGTACATTTCTGTACTTTTTGTCCCAGAGCAGAAGTTGACTCCTACCTTGCCCGATGACTTGACGCCCTTGCACAGGCAGGCGAAGACGATTATCCAGGCCAGCAGCAGAACCAGCGCCAGCTCCCAGCTCATGGTGCCGGTGTGCTCGATCCCCCGCACGGTCGTCCCGTTACCCAGGTCCACGGAGTACTTCAGAACACGCTCACTGAGGCAAGGAAAAACATCCGCCATCAAAGTTTGTTCATTTCATGTACATGTATAATGGTAAGCAGCTACTCTAGCTTTGTCCTGACAAAATGTAGCCCAACACTGCTACAGTACTAGTTTGTTTGTTTGTGTAGGATCTCCATTAGTGTGAATTTCACACTACTCTTCCTGGAGTCCGTAGTGAAGAATCATTTGATTAGTGAATAACAGTACTAGTATGTATTTGGACCAGCGCACACCGGGGCATGCCCATACTCTTTTTGCCACGATGACAAACGTCTGGTTCAGGCCATTGACCTTATTTGTTTGGAGAAGAAGAAGAAACAGAGCAAAAGCAATGTTTTCCTTCTTCGTGATTACTGTATTTTATTTTATGTGGAGCAATAAGCAAGTGAACGTCTGTGTTATAAGTCTGTAACGTGTTTTTAAGGCTCCAGGAAGAATAGTGAGTATAAACGTATACTCACTAATGGAGATCATTCAAATAAACAAATAAACTGGAGACTTACTGGAAGTACTCCTCGCTGGGGCTGATGCGGGTGTAGTTCTCGGTCTTGTTGGTTGCGTTGGCGACGGCGGAGGTCTCCACGCAGTTCGGGGTGTTCCACCAGTTATTACACGTGCGCCAGGGGAGCATGCTGGTGAAGCTCGCGAACATGTAGTACAGGGACCAGGCGATGATCATGTTGTAGTAGATGCACACCAGGCCGGAGATGATGCACATGGCGATGCCGATACCTGAAATATAACAATGAAAACCACGTAAATACATCTGTGTTATCAACATCAAAGAGACAAAGTATTATGCTGGGAATATCATTATAAGATTTGGAAGCAATGCCCCGAAGGGAAAGTTGAAAAAGTTGGTCCGCCAGGGAGAACAGTTTGCCGCACCCGAAAATTGTACTTTCTAGCGGACCAACTCCCCCGGCATGTTATCTCACTATTTAGCCAATTTCTACTCTTTCCAATCGCCTCCCGAAGCCCGGTAGAGGCTAGATTAACGGTACATATAATTACTTCATCCCTGGTGAGTGGAGTAGAGTCTCTGCCCTGCAGTTTTTATATGTTCTGCCAGAGGACGCTAACACTCTGCGCTCTCTCTCTCTCTGCTCTCCTCTCTTCCCTCTCTTTCTTTCTCTCTCTCTCTCCCTTTCCCTCTCCCTCCCTCTCTCTCTCTCTCTCTCTCTCTCTCTCTCTCTCTCTCTCTCTCTCTCTCTCTCTCTCTCTCTCTCTCTCTCTCTCTCTCTCTCTCTCTCTCTCTCTCTCTCTCTCTCTCTCTCTCTCTCTCT